CGGATTGATTGTTGACGAGCGGATACCTTGATAAAATAAAAAATACAAACCATATAAAAGTGTCCACGTTTTAAAATTAATTGGTTTAAAATTAGTTTGAGTTTAATGGATTAATTGATTCACAAAAGCTTAATCGATTATTTTGCAGTCGTTCTTTTAACTACAGTAAACTAACTAAAATAAAGCTGTATTTTTAATTACACAATTACAGCGGAAACATTCAAATCTGCGAAATCTTTTTTTAATTTTTTTTTTCTTTTGCTAACACAATGCCCAGCAAGGCCCTCAGTCACAATATCGACGACGACCTTTATCTCCCAAATCCTATAATGCATGAAATGAGGCACGCAGCCAGGGGGGGGGGGGGGGGGGAGGCCATGGGGCCCGCCCCCCCCCCCCCCTTCCCCCCCCCCCCCCCCCCCCGAAACATAATCCTGGCTATGTGCCTGCATGAAATGCAGTATCTAAGAAGCTATTGCTGGACTATATGTATACACCAACACAGTGTTTAGAAACAAGCCATCTTTGCCCACATCAGGTGCGGGCACTCCGCGTGCGCAGGAACTGTATTCGCGTGAGGTGAAGCGTCTGCGCAAGCGCAGTACTGACAGAAGAGGCAACGCAGTGCAGCGTCGTCAGTGAGTTCAATTGGTCTTAAGTCATTGAGCAGTCGTTTCGGCCGAACAATAGAAACCTATATTCTATAAATTTTTCCGTTAAATTTAGCGAGGAAACTGACATTTGGTGCATAAGTCACGTGAAGTCAGTATACCTGCTCAATATAGCGTGGAAACTAGATTGGTATTAAGGTCATGGTATGTCAATAGTCCTGTTAAAAGTAGCAGAGAAGTGCACGCACAGACGACCACGTTTTCTTCAATTTAAGGAGTTAAGTTAAAGGGCATTTCATGCTTGAAAACACCTCTACTTTTGTTGGCACAAAGATTTTCTAAACTAATAATTTTTCCAAGCCCCATGCGCCTGCGTGAATACGACCTCGCCAAAAGGGTAGCATGATGTCAACGTAGCTTCTGTGCGATACGCCGCGATTCCATGGTAACTTTGGTTTTCGTTTCTTGACATGCTGTGTATTGAACGCAAGATCAGAAATCTATCATTTAGATCATTTAGCAGACGGGAACAAGCGGAACGAGTTGAAAGAAAAATAACTATAGTCACTGCCAGGTTACAGGGGTCATGAAGTGATTTTTTTATCATCTTCCTCGTTAGTTTTCCTCCTCAGCTCAAAAGGGAAATGAGAAATTACGCGTTCGAAGAGTGCTGGGCCACCGGTACGATACCTCTAAGCTACCGCCGTCCTCTTTAAGATCACCATGGAACTTCCCATTCGCAACCGATGATAAGTGCCGTCATGGCACTGATTGGCCAGGAACGCGAATTCAAATATTCGTGAACCGATTGATTGTTTGCAAGCACATACGCCCGAGTGACGCAGTGCTCGTGTCCAACGCGTGAGCTAAACTCCATGAAATGCCCGCGCGTCTACTTACCCGCAAAACACTCGAAAGCCAATATTCGCAATCTACGAAATCAGCTCAGCGAATGATGAGGCGGAACATCCGTTTGGACCTAAAAAGGAAGTCTGCGCTGTGGCATTACGCAATGCAAAGCGTCATGCTTGCATTGCGTAATGCCACAGCGCAGACCTAATTTTAGATCTAAACAGATGTTCCACCCCATCATTCGCTGAGCCGATTTCGTACAACGCAGAGATTGGCTCTGCGAGTGCTTTGGGTGTACGTAGACGCGCGGGCATTTCTTAGAGTGTAGGGTAGGCTCACGTGGTTTGGCTACCGCGGATGTATTACAGTAAAAAGGCGTAAAGCTTTCGAAAGAAAGAAGATACGATACAGTCCGCTGTTTTTTTTTTTTTATTTTTGTATCAAAAAGCAGGTTTTTGAATTTCTGTCTTCTTTCTTTTGGCTCACTAAACGAGATGCGATTAGTAAGGTCCCAATCTAACATTATTGATCTCAGCCCAACATTCAGTTCATGGCCCCTTTGGGAAGCACAGGGCGGGGTTTGTTATCTTCACGCTTCTTGCCTCATGATTCGTACTTTGGCGTTCATATCGGACCTAACCGCAATCTGGTTGGCTACAAAGCCATAATGAGATGCTCAAAACTCGACACGCCTTGTGTTTGTTAAGCCATCATTGGCTGGGTTTACATGAATGCAATCGTAACGCATCCAATCGAGCAGGGACCAACTGCACGCACCCCGTATTCCCATTTCTTCCTCTTCTCCATCTATCCAACCGATCAAAATAGTCGAATCTCGATTCGATGCGTTATACTTCGTTTCAGCGTAGGTCCGAGCACGGCCGATGTTATGAGCCGAAGGGCCAATCAAACAGCGAAAGAGGCACAACGTCATGGCGTGCTCTCGGCAGTTGATAGGACCAGCCGGTATTCGCCGTCTCTCTGTGCGTGCTCCTCCGCTGGCTAGTCCTATCAAGCGCTGAGAGCACGCCATTACGTTGTGCCTCTTTCGCTGTTTGATTGGCCCTTCGGCTCATAACATCGGCCGCGCTCTGACCGAAGCTGAAACGAAGTATAGGGTCGCATCCTTGTATTATAAACCCAGCCAGCGAATATAGTGTTGCATTTGGCACTAATCCCACTCATGTGGTTGATCCGTGCTATCAACCAACGGTAAACTTGAGCACGATCTTGTCCTACGTTGATCAAGCTAGACTCTAAAAAAAGCCCGTGCATTTGCTTTTTCTCACTACCCTCGGAGAGCCAATCACCGCAACTTACAGAGGCAGCTCAGCGAATGACGATGCCGAAAAACGCAATCTGAGTTGTGACATTAAGCAATGCAAAACGTCACACTTGCATTGCTTAATGTCACGAGTCAGACTGCGTTTTTTGGTCGAAACATATGTTTCGGCATCGTCATTCGCTGAGCTGCATCCGTAAGTTGCGGTGATTGGCTCTTCGAGTGTTGTACGCGAAAGCAGACGCACGGGCTTTTTGTTAGCGTGTAGTGCTCATGGATGGCTTCTTTGCTTCGCTTGCACCAATCGCTTCCTCCTTTTTCCTCGCAATTTATTTTTTTTAGGAATATGTTGTTAAACACAACGGAAATAGGTACCTGTAGCAACAAAAAAAAAACGAACAATTTACCGAATTAAACGGGCCTGATCAAAGATCGTAAAATCATATTGTTCGGGTTATACCAAGGCTATCTGCAGTGACTAACAACTTAAGAGATGCAGACCATGTCTTAGGAGGATTGCAATCCGCGGTTCATGGCACCGTTTTTCGGTACTGCTATATACAGTAGACGATTGCAAGTGGGACAACTGGCCGACGCCATCTATCTGCTTGTGCGAGCAAGCCTATGCGATTGCAAGCTTACCAAAGTTACGCCCATGCGCCCGCTACGCGGGTTTGCACGCATGGGGCACCAACTGGGCCGCCATAATTGCAATTTTCCATTCGCTAAAGCCGGAAACTCATTAGGGAGTTGTCGTGGATGATTTTTTGCCGTCCCGCAACGCTCTCTGCAACTCGGTACAATGCTCGGAACTCTACAGTTAAGGCCACCGGCGCGCAGGCGCAGTAGCGGCTTCTTCGTTGCGTAGGGCTTCGTGGAGGGGGAAACGCGGTCTACGAAAACTCCCTATGCGGAGGGCAAGTTCGTCTGCTCCTTGCGCAGGGGGTAGCGGTGACGTCAGAACGCCGAGCCCTGATTGGCTGATCGAGCCCCCCTATCTGAGCGTCGTCTGCTTCTTTGCAACGTCGTCTGCTCGCAACGTCGTCTGCGTCTGTCTTACGTTTCCTGCGACTTTCGGGAGTGCGGAGGCCAGATTCACGAAACGATCTTACGCCAAAAATGTGCGTAAGACAAAACTTAAGAACAAATTCGTATTCGCGAAACGAAATTTTCGTAAGTTTTGCGCAGGTTACGGCGAAATCCTACGACAGCTTCGAAGCTGTCTTACGCACTTCTTACGATCAAGTCAGCATGGCCGACATCGTCGCGGTCGCGACGACCCACGGACGTTTATTTTTCTACGTGAGCTTCTCACGCGTCCTGACTTCAAGCAGCAAAAAAAAAGTAAAAATTACTTGAAACAGAGCACGACGAACAAGAACGCTGGATCCACAGACACCGGGGAAAACCTCCAACGGCCACGATTCCCCCGAACGCGACCAAACGAGCTGGGCAGTTAGGCCTAGCAGGCACTCCGCGACTCGGCGACCGTCTGCCCACGACCGGCTGACGTGCTGAATGGAATATGCCCGCGCGACCCTTGTGAACCCTTCCTGTGTTATACTTTGATCGCTGACCTCAATTTTAGATTAAGAGGTCAATTTCTTCCTCTTGTAATCTCCTTGTTTTCCGAGGCAACGGTGACTCTCGCCGGTGAAAAAGCGGTGAATCTCCGACAGAGGCAGGAAAGGTAAAGCAGCCATCGCTTTGACTAGCAGACGTAAAGCAGACGACGTTAACTGCGCCAACCCGCCGGCGCCGTTAAAGAGTGAGGGGTCTCGCCGCACACGAATGGAGGTAAAAAGTATTTGGGAGGGAACTTGCGGACACTAAGCAAACAAACCTCGGCGCCCCGGGACACCTCGCCAGTGAGTCCTTTGACTTCCCTCCTTGATGCGCGTCTGCTAGTTGTTAGACGAAACAACGTACCGCTCGAGTTATTTCGTCTGCCCTCCCTTAAAGGCCAAGTCGAGTTCGCTCCGAAAGTCGCAGGAAAGGTAAGACAGACGCAGACGATGTTGCGAGCAGACGACGTTGCAAAGGAGCAGACGACGCTCAATGGGGGGGTCGCGATCAGCCAATCAGGACTCGGCGTTCTGACGTCACCGCTACTTCCTTTCTCATGCGCAGAAGACGAAAATGAGCCCACTTGCGAGGCGTATTGGCTGTGGATCGGCAATAGGATGTGTGCGACTCGCTGCGCCATGGGTTTTTTAATCAGCTACTAAAATTGAAAGCGTAGTTAAAATACTTACGGTTGCCATACTCTTCAGTCCTGAGTATGATACAATGTTTGTAGTCCGTGAAGATTACTCTCGATGCATAATATTCTATTAGGAAATAAGAATGCATGTAAATGTGCTTAAATGGTAGCGCGCGCGCACTGAGCGAGCCATTTTCTTTACATACCAGCAGTACCCCCGCGATAGAGCCAGGTTATCGCTCTATATGTTTTATTGTGATAATATGCGGTTTCTGCAGAGAATCCTTGAAGCATATCTCTGTAACTAAAATAGTGTTTCGTTAATCGCAACTCCACGGGAAAAAAAAATTTAGAGCGTAGATCAATATTTTGATGGTGGTTATTATTGTTCTAAGCCTGCTGTATAAAGATAGCGCGCAAACGACAAGGAACATAAGGGAGGCACGAAAGACAAACAAAGCGGAAACTTACAATCCAGATTCTAATTCATTCGTTCTTCGTCTTTCTCTACATCTACTTGGATGGAACTGGTACGTGCGCCAGATAAGTAAATAGAACCATACATACAAATACAAATATATACAAATCCAGATACAGGTTTTTTTTAAGATCGCAGCTCTTAGGCGCTCGTTTCCGTGTTTTTCTGCGTCGGCGTCGGCTTCGGCGTCGCCGTCGCCGTCGGCGTAACCGAGAGAGAGGGGGAGGGGTGAGGAGGGCACTTAGGAGGAGAAGGGAAGGGTACGGAGGAGGAGGGGAGGGCAGAAATGGGAGGAGAGGAGGGCGCAATGAAGGAGGAGGGCACGGAAGAGGACGAGGGTGGAAGAAAGAAAGGCATATACATATTTCTTTCTCAAATTCTTTACCACGGTATATCGCAAAATCGAAATACCTCAAGAGCTTGGCTCTAATGTCCCATTGCAGAGATTCGTAAACGTCTTTCATTTTTCTAAGCTTATCAGATATGTTTAAAAAAAAAGCCCCGAAAACTACGCATATGCGGTTTAGGAAGATTAGTTGTATAGGACCAGCGCGACATACCATAAAGTAATATTTGCAACGATTAATTGGCTGATTGAGTAAAATTTGTTAATTAGCTTTTTATTTAGTGAAAATAGACATGGTTTTAATTATAAAACCTACTGAGTGCCACCGAAAACCACTAAATCAGTAATTTTCAGAAAGACATTTAGCAGGGAAAAAGCGCAGTAGTGCGCTAAAATTACCATTCGTGCAGTAGGAGCAAGGCTACCGCTGCGATAAAGCGGCCGTGCGATATTTCCCGTTCTTATCATAGCCCCGGCCTTGTACCTGTTGCACGACTGGTACCTTCAGCGCACTATACGCTTCCAACGCACACAAAGTATTTCTAAAAATTACTGGTTTAGTGGATTTCGATGACACTCAGCAAGTTTCTATAGGGACCACATGTCCATTGGCACTAAATAAATAAAAAGCTAATTAACAAGTTTTACTTAATTAACCGAATGATTGTAAGCATTAGCCTTCAACACAGTGTCTCCTGGCCGTATAACTCACCTGCACAAACCGCATAAGTGTAGCTTTCACGAAATTTCCTAAACAAATATGTTAGGCTTAAATCAAAATTTGAATGCAAATAGAGCTTTTGCTAAAAACGTCCCGGGAAATATTCCTTCTCCTTCCGTGATAATGTTCCCATTGGTAGAAACATGGCGCACCTAGAGCTGCTTAATTATTCTAAAAATTAAGGTTCCTGGTGACGTCGTAAAAGGGGCATTCAATTCCCTGCCGCAATCCTCTCGGTGGCATAGCAACAGAGGTGGATGCGACAGACACCAGTTCTGATGAGATTGTTCTGCAGCCAGACATTCAATGTAAGCCGAAGCAAATACGATTTGGAACGCCGCGGCAACACTCGCGTCCGCGCTCGCCTTTTTCGCCAGCCCTTCTAGGAAAAATTGTCCGGATGGCGACATATAGCAGCATGACAGATGGCCACCAGATTCCGTGGCATAAGTTTTTGCCCCTTCCGGGCCCCTTTCGACGTGTGGGCGCTAGAGGGCACGAAACACACCGGTCGAAGACATCACTCCAGGCAACGTACTTCCAGCAAGTAACCTCAAACCACTTAAATTATGCTACGCCGTCTCACATTTAGCAGTGCAAAGGAACATCTGATAAGATCGCCGAAAGAGTAAATATCGGATATTGTTACTCTGTATCATTTGACGATGTGAGAACTTCAATGTGTCCCTCAGGTGTTATCCCAGAGTTTGGTTTGTATGTCAACTTGCACACCCCTACAAAAATATGTATGGACGTTCTATGTCCATACTTTTGCCGTTCTATTACCTCTTTGTCCATCCTATGGATTCCTGTAGACAGTTTTTAGACCGTCTATGTACCATTGGTTTGCCACAGAATGGACACAAAAACGCTATAGAGATCTTCGCGAAAGAAAAAGTTTTTCATTCCTTCCTATGTCCGTTCTATGGTCCCGATGAGTCTATGGTCATCCTATTGCCTCTCTATGGTGTGAGCTATATATTGGTGCATTAACAAAGTGATGCCGGGTAGACGTTTTCTTTAGGTGTAGCGAGGTGTCCGAGTTAAAGAGTTGTTAATTAAGTTCCGGGTATCAATATGTTACATTGATGTCTAGAGGCATATCCAACCTCAGGGTATACTCATTGTGGAGATGGAAGTGTTTAGTATGTGCCGGAATAATGTTTTTACTTTCTCAGTGGGAGGTATATGTGGGTCGTTGCGGCCCCCGTAGATATTCGCAACTTTCACAACCCATAGGGGCGCACTGGTGCCTATCAAAATTGCGGTCATCTGGATGATCGTCGTTAAAAAGCGGTATACTAGGCTGGGTCTGCGCGCGACGCGTAAGTAATTGTAGTTTTGCTATATACGCGCAGTATCAGAGACTTACTTTATGTTTTTTTTCACGTCAGGAAAGTGTAGGCAAGCCATTTTATTATTATGCCAGTCACCCAGGAGCTAGGGAGTGCGATTCTCACACCGCGGTACCACCATCGCTTAAAGTGGCTTCTCTATGGACCCCGTAGGGACTCCGTGCAGACCCTGTATGGCTTCTCTGCAGACTCCATAAGGAGCCCGTGTAGACCCTGTATGGCTTTCCTGTGGACCCTGTATGGCTTCCCTGTCGACGCTGTATGGCTTCCCTGTGGACCCTGTATGGCTTCCCTGTGAACCCCTTACGTACTCCCTATAGACCTTGTATGGCTTCTTTGCAGACCCCTAAGGACCCTACACTCTTTACAATGGCTTTTACAGAGCACGTTTTTGCGTAAAAACAAATGGGGAAAAGCTCTTTTTGTAGAACCCTTTATTGGAGATCAGTACAAAATGACAAGAGCGTGATGTTTGCATACACTTTTAGCTTACAGGGTTTTGCGGCACAATTAATATTTTTTTTTTACAGCCATGCCTCACCGGCGACTTCAGGTAGCGCGTCCCGACTTGGGTGCGTCCTAACTTCGGTGGCAATTCGCGGCGTGTCCGCCTGGGAGACGGGGGTTGGCATCCCTGAAACTTCTCTTCTACCGTATAGGTTTCGGCGCCAAAGTGGCCGATTAAAGCCAAAGCAGAACAGTCACATGCTGTCGAATATCGATAGTCCCAAACCAACACACGCAGTCGTGCAGTATGCTGCGGATGGAATGGTGGCGTTGCGATCGCAATTAGTTTGGTTTTCGAGTACAGATCGGGGGGGGCGCCGCTTTTTCAGAGCAAGCTCTTTAGCAGTTTCCCAAATGACTTGCTCTAGAAACGTTGGTCGGTGCGGACCCCATAGCAGACCCCCCGCAGACCGAGTGGCTTCTCTGCGGACCCTGTAGGGACTCCCTGTAGACCTTGTATGGCTTTTCTGCAGACCCCATGAGGACCCTGTGTAGACCTTGTATGGCTTCCCTGAGGACTCCCTAGGGACTGCTTGTAGACTTCGCATCGCTTTTCTGCAGGCACCCTATAGACACCGTAAAGACCCTGTGTAGACACCCTATAGAGTCCCTATGGACTCTATATGGCGCCTTGCCATAGAGAGAATATAGGATGACCACACATCATCCATAGAATAGGACGTCCATAGAACGTCCGTTGGCCAATATTCTATAGGGCAGCCATAGGACGACTTCACGGAGGCAACAGAGGTCGTGGTCCGCCTATAGATGCCTTTTGTCCTCCCTATGGACGCTGGTCTATAGAACGTCCTAGAAGTGACCATACATATTTTTGTAAGGGCAACCGGAAAGAGTCATTCTTCAGCGAGGAGTAGACCAGTACAAGACTGCCATACAGGATGCCCTGCAAATGAATGTACGAAGGCCATGTGTGTAAGCACGCACTACATGTTGCCAGACTTTTACCTCGCGAAATAGTTTCTTGCTTGCTATAAATTACAGAAAACACTTTTCACTAGATTCATCATGCTGAAGAAAGACGGGGAAGCACAGGATGCGTCCTGAACGAGCTGGGGCGCATACTATGTGTGTTGATCTCACGTGCTATCATCAGATGAGATGACCCTACCGTCACAAAGTGGGGATGTCATAGGATGTGAAGGCGCCATGTTACAGCATAATGTTACGTTGCGTTATGGCGCCAGGTGGCACCATCACGTGGCGATTCTTCGGAAGGAGGATTTCATAACGGTTTTCCCGCAGAATTCGGCTGATGGACAACATTTTGTTTGGGGAGTAAAAATAACATATTGACACTGTAATTAGGTTGCTGTTATTATAATAGTAATAATAATATTAATAAAACATGATATAAAGATAATATTAATAGGAAGAAGACGAAGAAGAAGACGAGAGAGAGAAGAAGCAAAAGAAGAATGCTTTATTTTTCCTTAGTGCCCACCCAAGGAGCAGAATTCCTCAGCCCAGGCTTCAGCCAGACTGGCGCGAGCTAAAGCCAAATTGGTTCAACTCTGGCACAAGCTTCCTTGAAAGTGGCCCAAGTACGGACCGGTGAAGTGTGCTGCTGGGGCACAAACACCTATTCATTCATTCATCCATTCGTCCATTTGTTTATTTTCTGTGCTCATGAACAACTTAACGACTTGATAATGATGCACGACAACGTGTTCACAGGTTAGTTCCAAAAGTCTCAAAAGCTACGAAATTTAGGTTAAAAACATCAATATCTGCTCCACTGAGGATGTTGTAGAAGTGTTGAATACAGGTCATGGGACTGGTTTGGATGATGTGATTAACATGGAAAGTTGGAGAAACCCGCAAAATTCGACTCGGAACGTGAATATTAATAGCAAATCTGAGATCAGGGCAATCAATTAATTCATGAATGCATTTATACAGGAAACCAAGATCGCACTCACGCCGTCTAGAACTCAAAGTAGGGTATTTGCATCGTTCCAACAGCCTCGCATAAGAATAATAAAAAGCATAGCTTATTAGCCCCGAACACAAAAGAAACGATATCATTTACACCGACTCATAAAAAAAACACTATTTTAAATGTTATGAAAAATAAACATAATTAGTCGAATTTTATTCTTGCGTCACAAGCATGGGTGCCAGGACATTCCTTATTTCAGTATATGTGTCTGGATCGTTGTGCGGCACAAGCATGCGGCCCAGCATAAGCCCGCATTCCTTATTTGGGTATATCCAGGTACGGATCCATAACCAGAAAAATAGGCTAAAGGCGCGTTCACACAGGCGATGTGCAGCAGTCGCGCGACGCTGAAACTCTCACTGCAAAGCGACCCTCGCGGAAAAAAGCGACGCGTTTCGAGCAGTCGCAGGCTGACCCGACTTTTTTGCGATGCGATCTAATCGCGGAGCGGCTGAGCCAATCAGCGGCGTTCGGAGTGAGTTTTTGGCAAGCGACTCGCTCATTGCACACGCCAGTGTGACCATCTGAGATTTTTGCTATGCGATCTACAGGTTTTCCCGCTCATTTTAATCCAAGCGACGGCCAATTAAATCCAAGCCCTACATACTTTAAACCTTGCGCTACCCAATTTAATCCCTGGGTCAGTCAATTTTATCCACAATATATATATGCGCTTATTGTCTTCAGCGGTCGTGTTTGCTTACACATTTGGTAACTTAGGATAATTTTTTATACAATTAAATTTTTGGGGGGACAACTGATCATTTCATCCCTATTGTGATTACTTGAAGTTACTAGTACCCCTATTGACGAGGCTTAGTTAATATGTTGATTACTCTTGTTGTAATATCGAGTTATTGTGGCGCGCTCGAATTTATATTAGCTGAATGGACTTCTTGTTTAACCTTTCTTATTACTCGACTTAACATTGCTAGAGTTCAGATGATACAAGTACAATTGCAATTTATGATTATTCTTTTGATTACTTCGGGTTAATATTGCTCCAATTGATCTATAATGAACTCAGTTGACATTATTATTCCTCTTTTGATTACTTCGGGTTACTTTTGACCCATTGACCATAAATTCGAATTAAATGTCATTGTGATGACTCTTCATTACTTTTAGGTAATCTTCAACAAATTGAATTTTTATGTGATAATTATTGACATTATGATTACTCTTTTGATTACTTCGAGTTACTCTCAATTCAATTGACTTTAATTCGGCCTAAGTGACATTTGGCAACTTTTGTTTACTTTGTGTAATTATAGTACCAATGTATCGGTTGTGAGCTCGATCATACATTATTATTAGTCTTAAATTACTTAGGGTTACTTTCGATCCAAAGGACTTTAATTCGGCCTCATTGATATTGCGATGACTGTTTTGTTTTTTTGGGCTGATATATAAGAAAAGTATTTATTATTAGCTCAATTGATATCACAATTACTTGTTTGATTACTTTGACTTACTATTGACCGAATGGACTTTAATTCAGCCTAACTGACATCCTGGCTACTCTTTCAATTACTTCGTGTTACTTTTAACCCAGTGAACTTGAATCCGACCGAAATGACATTGGGATGACTCTTTTGATTACTTTGAGCTTATCTTCATACAAACTTATTCATTATGAGCCCAACGTATATTATGATTACTCTTCTGATTACTGTGAGTTACCTTGACCCAATGGATTTGTCCTATTTCGCAATTTGGTAACTCTTCTGATTGCTTTGAGGTCACCTTCGACCAATTGATCTTTTAAAAGCTCGATTCACATTTTTATTACTCTTTTGTCCCAATTAATCCTAATTTGGCTTAATTTACATCGTAATAAGACTTGATTATTTTCCGCTAATTCAACCAATTGATTTATTGTGGGCATAATTGACATGATGATTATTTTTTTTATTTCCCATTAATCCAATGGGCTTTGAATCCGCCCAATTAGCATATTGGTGACATTTTGAAGTACTTGGAGCGTTACCAATTTATCTATCATGAGCTCAATTTTCATTGCAATTACTTTTGATTATTTCGAGTTACTATTGAGCCAACGAACATTAATTCGGCCTAATTGACAGTTTGATGATTCTTGATTACTTTGAGCTAATATCGAACCAATTGCGTTCTTATGAGCTAAATTTTCATTATGATGATCCTTTAAAATGTTTTGAACTGCTATTGAGCCAGAATTTTGATTACTTTGAATTATTATACAGCCAATTTAATAATTATTAGGCATATTGATGATTTGATTACTTTTCGATAACTTATAATTACTTTTGAGCTACTTTATACTTCACTTCACTTACTCCGGACACCAGAGGGCAGCGTCGGAGCAGAAGTCCTTCCAGTGAGCCCTTCTCCTCGTCCGATGGTTCCCTTTGGTGTCCGGGATACTTCCGACGTAAGCGATCTTTGATTCGGATATTAATAGAAAAAATGTAGAGCCTTTTCATTACACGTGAAGATGGAAGACCAGCGACGCTATATTGTCACGGGTGGTAACCAATAAACAAGAAATGAACAGAAAGAAATAAACGTTTAATGTGGCGAACTTGTGCCAAAATAAAAGGGTACAAAAGACAATAACGGAGCGTCGCGGGCGTCGAGGTCGGCGTAGCCGCAGAGTCGAACGCTGGGACGAAACTGAATCCGGCTTGTCACGCGGAGCCGCTTTTGTACACGCATTGGCTTCTGGAGCGTTCGACGTAGAAGGTTCGACGCGTAGAACATTCTAAAGTCGAATCAGCTAGACGGTTCTCGAATTCACCAGAACATCTCATTACAGTATCAACAAAATGCGTAGCCGCGGCCAGGAATCGAACCCTGGCCCTTCGCGTGGGAGGCAAGCGCGATAACCGTTAGGCTACGGCCGCGCTGCCTACTTGGCGCGCGGCATTACACCGCCCTTACAAAAGTGCATCGCCCCGATGCAACACAAAACAAAACAAAGCACATAAAAAGAACGACAAACTAAAGAGTTATTTGAAACACATAAGATCCACAGTCCTATCGAGCGTAGTACGGCTTCAGGCGCACGACGTGGACGACTTCAGGTCGTGGTGGGCGGCGTGATGATGTTCTTGTTCCGTCGGGCATCACCTCGTAGTTCAGCTCACCGAGGCGACGAAGTACCTTGTATGGTCCAAAGTACCGTTTCAGCAGTTTCTCACTGAGGCCGCGGCGACGGATGGGCGTCCACACCCACACCCTGTCTCCGGGCTGGAAGTGAACGTCCCTGCGACGAAGGTTGTAGCGGCCCGCGTCGACGCGTTGCTGGTCTTGAATCATGAGTCGGGCGAGCTGGCGGACTTCTTCGGCGCGTTGAGCAACCACCTGGGCGTCGTCGCTCTGATTGTCAGATGGCTCATGGGGCAGCATTGCGTCCAGCATGGTCGTTACCTTCCGACCATGTACCAGCTGGAAAGGGGTGAATCCAGTGGTCTCCTGAACCGCCGTATTGTAGGCGAACGTGACGTAGGGCAGCACCTCGTCCCACGTCTTGTGCTCAACGTCGACGTACATAGAGATCATGTCGGCGATTGTCTTGTTCAGTCTCTCCGTCAGCCCGTTGGTCTGCGGGTGGTACGCAGTTGTACGACGGTGGCTGGTGTGACTGAGTCGGAGGATTTCTTGGGTCAGCTGTGCCATGAACGATGATCTGCGATCAGTAATCAAAACTTCTGGAGCGCCGTGCCGGAGGACGATGGACTCGATGAAAAACTTGGCGACTTCAACAGCCGTGCCTGCTGGAAGGGCTTTCGTCTCGGCATACCGTGTGAGATAATCGGTGGCGACGATAATCCAGCGGTTTCCCGACGTTGACGGCGGGAAAGGGCCAAGTAAATCCATTCCGATCTGCTGGAACGGCATAGACGGGGGAGAAATCGGATGCAGAAGTCCTGACGGCTTCGTCGGCGGTTTCTTGCGTCGCTGACACTCGTGGCATGATCGAATGTATAGGTGAACGGTCTTCGGTAGCCACGGCCAGTAGTACTTTTCTCGAATCCTGGCGAGCGTCCTGCTGTAGCCAAGGTGTCCAGCCGTTGGGTCGTCATGGCATCCTTGGAATATTTCATCTCGAAGGCTGGCAGGAACAACCAACAGCCATGCTGTGTTGTTGTTGACGAAGTTCGCCTTGTACAGCACCCCTTGCCGCATGGAGAATGTATGCAGGATTCTTAAGAAAGCACGGGGAACCGAACTCGCTTGTCCCTCTAAGTGCTCGATGAGCGCTCGCAGTTCAGGGTCGTCTCGTTGGAGTGCTGCCATGTCGCTGACGTCCAAAGCGCCGAGGAAACACTCATCGTCGTCGTCTTCGATACAGGCAGGTCCGGCCTCGACAGGAGCTCTTGACAGGCAGTCGGCGTCATTGTGCTTCCGGCCGGACTTGTAGACAACGGTCATGTCGAACTCCTGCAGTCGTAGGCTCCACCGGGCGAGGCGTCCGGAGGGGTCTTTCAGATTCGCGAGCCAGCAGAGCGAGTGGTGGTCCGTGACCACGCGAAAAGGACTTCCATACGGATATGGGCGAAACTTTGTTATTGCCCAGACGACAGCAAGGCACTCCTTTTCAGTTGTAGAGTAGTTCCTCTCCGCCTTAGACAGCATCCGACTCGCGTATGCGATGACTCGTTCTGCCCCGTCCTACCTTTGAACTAGCTCCGTGCCAAGTCCGGTGTTACTGGCGTCCGTGTGGATCTCTGTATCAGCGAACTGGTCGAAATGGCCAAGAATCGGGGGCGTCTGCAGTCTTCGTTTCAGCTCAATGAATGACCGCTGGTGTTCGTCTGTCCATTTGAACTTTACGGCATCCTTCGTGAGGTGCGTCAGCGGTGCGGACAACTTGGCGAAGTCCCGAAGAAATCGTCTGTAGTAGGCACAAAGACCAAGGAATCTTCTCTCGGCCTTCTTGCCAGACGGCGGCGTAAATGCAGCTACGGCGCGGGTCTTCTCAGAATCCGGGAGAACACCTTTGTTGCTCACGACGTGGCCAAGGAACTTATGTTCACCATAGGCGAATCGACACTTTGTCGGCTTGAGTGACAGGCCGGCGGCCTTGATGGCTTGAAGCACGGCTCGAAGTCGTTTCATGTGCTCGTCGAAATCTCGTGAAAATACCACGACGTCGTCGAGGTAGACGAGGCAGCTCTGCCATTTCAGACCTGCCAGCACGGTGTCCATGACACGCTGGAAGGTGGCTGGCGCTGTACAAAGCCCGAACGGCATCACTTTGAATTCGTACAGTCCGTCGGGAGTGACGAAGGCAGTTTTCTCCCGGTCGCGTTCGTCGACTTCAATCTGCCAGTAGCCACTCTTCAGATCCATCGACGAAAAATATCGGGAGTGGCGCAGTCGTTTTAACGTATCGTCGATGCGGAGGAGCGGATAGACGTCCTTCTTCGTCACAGCGTTCAGTCGACGATAGTCCACGCAGAACCGCAGGGTTCCGTCCTTCTTCTTTACAAGGACGACTGGGGACGCCCATGGACTTCTTGAGGGTTGAATGATGTCGTCGTCGAGCATTTCTTGGACTTGATCCTGAATCACCATCCTTTCCTTTAAGGAGACTCGATACGGCGACTGATGGACAGGGAGCGCGTCGTCGTCGGTAGTAACGCGATGTTTCGCCATTGGTGTTTGGCGAACTTTTGACGACGTGGCAAAAGAGTCACTGTATTCGGCGAGGAGATCAACCAGTTGCCGGCGCTTAGGAGCTGGGAGCTCGGGGTCAATGTCGATCGGCGGCGGCGGCGTGCTGTTCTGCTGTGACGACGAGGGTTCTTCGGAGATTGCGGTGACCACGGCTGGCGCCTGAAGCTGCTTAATGTGGCCCACAGTGGTACCCTTCGTTAGGTGTTGCGGCTCCTCTCGGAAGTTTGTCACAAGAACAGTTGCACGTCCTTCTTGGAGATCCGTTACGCCTCGTGCGACGCCAATCCCTTTCTCAAGGAGCAGTTGGACGCTGCCTTCCAGAAGAGCTTCACCGTGCATGGCTGAGTCGGTTATGACGGTGACGAAAACACTCGACCGCGGCGGTAAGTTCACATGGTCGGCGATAACTCGGATCGCGGTTGACGTCGTGTTGGTCTCCACCGGCGGTAAAACAGGCTTTCGCAGCGTCAGCTGGTTTGCCCCGAGGTCGATGACGGCGCCATACTCGCAGAGGAAGTCCATTCCGAGGATAACGTCCCTCTGGTTGGATGGCTCTCTGAACTTCTTCCCGCGCAACCTCGGCAATGGAGAGCGTCGCTGGTCGGTTTGCAGCTGGCAGCAACCGGCGGATTTCCTCCCGGACGAACTCCCGGATGATTTCGCGGATGTCCGTACCAGGAGCGTTTTCGCCGCTAAGCAGAGCGGTTGTAGTGACGCTTGGATGCCGCTGGTAGTGGGAAGCGCGCGCTTGGAGGGCACGCTCGATGTTTGTTGCCTCGGTGACAAAGGCGTCGACGGTTGCCGGCGGGTTGCGGACGAAGCCTCCGAAAATGTCGTCTCTCACCCCGCGCATGAGAATTCGTAGTTTCTTTTCTTCGGTAGCCCCAGGGTCGGCGCGGGCGCTCAGGCGCAAAACGTCCTCTACGAAGCCGGTGACGCTCTCGTTGGGGCCCTGGGTTTTGGTTCGCAGTAGGTCCTCGGCTCTCTCTCGACGGTGGTGGTTCCTGAACGTAGCCTTGAGATCGGTCTTGAAAATGTCCCACGACGTCAAAGAGGACTCATGATTCTCGTACCAGTGCTTGGCGGTACCCTCAAGCGAAAAATAGACGTTGTGCAGGCGCTGCTCGTCGGTCCAGCAATTGTGGCGGGCAACGCGTTCATACTGGTCAATCCAGTCTTCGACATCTTCGTATTGCTCGCCGTGGAATGGAGGAGCCGTGCGCGGTGCGACGGGCAGATAAACGACGGCTGGAGCGGCCGGGGTCTCCGACTGGTTGGCCATCGTCGTCCTCCTGGTTTGCCTGGTCCTGGGTGGCAAGGGTCCTGATTCCGGGAGTAGGCCAAGGTTCCGGCGACTTAATCGGATCTCGGTCTGGTCTTCGTTGGGTTCTTGGGGGCTGGTGTGCGGACTTGCACTGCGGGAACTCGGAGGGGAGCGCTGCACGGGCATGCGGTTACCCCGCACCTCCACCAAAATGTCACGGGTGGTGACCAATAAACAAGAAATGAACAGGAAGAAATAAACGTTTAATGTGGCGAACTTGTGCCAAAATAAAAGGGTACAACAGACAATAACGGAGTGTCGCGGGCGTCGAAGTCGGCGTAGCAGCAGAGTTGAACGCTGGGACGAAACTGACTCCGGCTTGCCACGCGGAGCCGCTTTTGTACACGCGTTGGCTTCTGGAGCATTCGACGTAGAAGGTTCGACGCGTAGAACATTCTAAACTCGAATCAGCTAGACGGTTCTCGAATTCACCAGAACATTTCATTACAGTGTCAACAAAATGCGTAACCGCGGCCAGGAATCGAACCCTGGCCCTTCGCGTGGGAGGCAAGCGCGATAACCGTTAGGCTACGGCCGCGCTGCCTACTTGGCGCGCGGCAATATTACCAACGTCTAGGACGATGCCCAGAGGACGACTTCTATGACGACCTCAATGACGACTTCTATGACGATCTCGAACACTGCCTAAAGGACAATGTTTACGACGACCTCAGGGACGAGTCTAGGACGACCAAGTGGACAATGTCTAGGACGACTTAATTCTTGGACGACCTCAAGGACGACGCCTGGAGGACGACGTCTAGGACGAGCTCAGGGACAACTTTTTGAACAACCTCGAGGACGACGTCTAGGACATCATCTAGGACGACCTCAAGGATGGCGTCTAGGACGACCTTGAGGGCGACGTTTAGAACAACCTCAGGGACGACGTCTAGGACGAAATCAAAAACAACCTCAAGGACGACGCCTAGGCGGACGTCTAAGACGACGTCTTGGACAATTTTAAGGACGACCTGAAGGACGACGCCTAGGATCACATCAGGAAAGACGTCTAGGACAAATTCTAAAACAAACGAGGACACCTAAAGGACGTCGTCCTCTAAATGTCGTCCTCGAGGTTGTTTTCGAAGTTGCCCCTGAGTTCGTCGTAGACGTCGTCCTTGAGGTCGCCGTAAACTTCATCTTAGAGGTCGTCCTAGACGTCTTCCTCGAAGTCGTCCTAGACGTCGTTCTTGAGGTCGTCCGAGAGGTTCTCCTCGAGGTCGTCCTAAACGCATCCTTGAGGCCGTCTTACACGTCGTCCTCAAAGTCGTCCTCCAGGTCGTCCTAGACGTCGTCCTTGAGGTCGTCCCAGTCATTGTCCCTGAGGTCGTCCTAAACTTCGTCCTCTAGGCGTCGTCCTCAAGGTCTTCCTAGAAGTCGTCCTTGAGGTCGTCCTACACATCGTCCTCCAGGCGTCATCCTTGAGGTTGTTCCGGAAGACAATAAGTGCATATATCGATTGTGGATTAAATTGACTGACCCCGGGATTAAATTGGGTAGCGCAAGGATTATATCATGTGGCGCTTGGATAAATTGGGTGGCACTTGGATTAAATTTTCCGTCGCTTGGATTAAAATGAGCGGGAAAACCTGTAGTCGCATCGCGAGAGTCTTTTATATCGCCGGTGTAAACCCGCCTTAAGGATCCAGATACAACTTCCGCAATTTCAATGTTATACTGAAGCTAAATAAAGACTTAGTGACTGATTGATAAATAAATGGCACTGCCTTGCCCGATCATAGTGAACAACACCCCCTTTCGAGCACTGTCAAGGCAGCGTCGCATGGTTGCCAAAAGCCATCTCGGGAAGTGTCTATACAAGTGTTGATTGTGCTAGTTTCATCAGATGAACTGATAATTACCCTTTTAAAATCTTGGTATCTTTCAAGCTTTACATCCTTTTCATTAAGAGGGGTCTGAAAAGGGACAAAATAGGTAGACTTTATTTAAAACGCGTAGCTTTTGATAATATCACTATAAAAACAACCATTTAGCACACGGTGGTCACCAAACTTATACGAAACACCCGAACACTCTCTCATCTTATTGGAGCGCTATCCTGGCGGCGGCCTAATAACTGCTTCCTGACGTAGCCCACAATGGAATAGTCCAAGCAGGGGAGGCCGCTCTCTAGACTGTAGACGAAACAGCAATTTTGACCGTCGATTAATCAATACCCGTGTCCACCTTTCTGTAGGAAGACGGGAAGGTGATTGTCGAAACAGTTTGTGACTGAATGCTTAATCATTAACCACATTATGCTCCTACTGAATGACGCAAAGAGTGCCTCGCAGGCAAACTTGCCCTGTTTATCTCCGTTTCAGAGGCGGTTTCAGCCTTAAACAAGCCCCCCCCCCCCTCCCCACCGTAGTCCGACTGTTTCATTGGAAGCTACGTCATGGAGCAGTTCTTCGGCTGCCGCCAAGATAACGCTCTAGTATAATAAAACGCCGTTTGCATGTTCCGGATTAATTTCGTGAGCACAGTACATTATCATGTTAATCGGATTTACCTGGTGCTGTAGCAAAATGTTTATTTAATAAAGCACTCAATTTTCCGATGAACCTACACTTCATTTCAGTTACCATTCCACTCACATAAAGAATGTTTGATTCTTTTCGTTTATTTTTATGGTCTTCAAAATTGATACAACAGGGTTGGACAAGACGAAGTAAAACCAAATATCGTATTTGGTAAAACCTTGAACAAAAGGGGTTACCTACTTGATAAAGGCGGAAAACATCTAAGAAATGGAACGGCAAAAAAAAAAGTGCCCTAACTTGAATAAAAAATCTCAAACAGAATCTAAAAAAAAAAAGTTTTAGAGCGAAAACTAAGAACAGTTGTTCCGAACTAAGGAAGTCGTAGTGCAATTTGGTGTACCTGACTTGACAGCTGATCAAGTTATTGTCACCCATTGACTTTCTGACGTCCTGATAAGATAGCCGTAATTTTGGGGCGCTTCCCTAGACAAGTAACGCGAGACATGTGGCTTGGCAAACGGTCAAATTTGAAGCATGTTAGTAAGCAAAGTTTATATGCTGGAAAACTTGGCACAGCAGGACACGGCATTTCCTTGGAAAGCGACAAAATGGAACTAGAAGAACTAATCCCACTTAGTTATGTTTAAAAAAAAACTTCATGAAAGAAAAAAATGAAAACCCAAGTCTAAGTAAGAAAACCAAAATATGATTTGCAGGAACTGCAGTAATTTCTTTTGCAATTTATGCAAGTCTTGGTTTTTGTTTCCCGCTAAGAGTGACAGGGCTTATTTGTTGCCGAGCGAATCAGGGCTCATTTTCAAAGATCAACCAAAAGTTCATTTTTCTATGTTTCATATAAATGTGCAATCAGTGTTGAAGAAGTTTAAAAATTTAAGCATCTTTGAAACGGATTAAGTTTGATGTTTGATGCTCTTATGATTACCGAGTCATGGCGTAAGAATTCAGACAAAATGAATAGTCTAGAGGATTAGAACATATTTATATAAATCGAAGCAATAAACTAGAAGAGAGTGTGTGTACGCTTTAGAATGTGGCTCGACAGTGCAGTTATTGGTGATTTCACTACTATTAGAAGAGACTAGTACTAGATCATCCTTTGCAGCATAAAAATAATATTTTTTTTGTTCATCCTTCATTGAGTGCAAATATCTCTTCCTCGCTTGAGTTCCTAGACGTTATATTAGGTGTATTAATAAAAACAGATGCACATTTCATTTTGGTGGGGATTTCAATTTACAGGGCGTTCCAGAAAAAAGGAAGAGTGCTTTCCGGCCCGGCTAGGTAAACCATGGATAGCAGAAAGCTCAAACTATGTGAGGATAGGACGGTATAAATTGGGATGTAAAGTAAATGTTTGAGAACAGAACTTTACCTTAATCAAAAGATAACAAAAAAATATCTATAAGCGAACGTCTACCTGTGTCTGATATCGTCAACACAAGAACAAAGAACAAAAATTAATTACCTCAGTGCTATTCAACAAAGGTGTCTCCACTGGTATCCACACCGAACCAGCTTTGCTTGGAGATGTTGATGTGACTACGAAGACCCCGAGACAGATCATCAGGAGTGACCACGCTTCAAGATGCAAGTGCAGGGGCATCCCTCTTGTTCTTTTGTAGGCTTGCCTGTGCAGAGAACGTTTGTCGTTGATTATAGAGTAGTTTCAATGTCTTTAACAAAATGCACACAACGCGCAAAAAAACAACAAAAAACATGTTAGCAGATGCATGCAACACAAGCCCATTAATGTTAACTCAGTGTCAATTTTAACAGGAACGGGGCTGCATATTTGCGTTGCTTTTCTGCAGACTACGTCAAAAGGCGATAGCAATGCGCGGAGAAAGTGAGGGAGAGGAGGAGGCGAGAGCGCGCGTGGATGTCAGAACGTCGCGTTCTGATTAGAATAATTAGTGGGTAGACTTAAAGCTAGCTGCCATTGTCTCCACTGCACTTGCCGAACGCGGTAGAACGCAGAACACCGGCGCACGGCGTTTGGTTCTCTCATTGACGAGGAGTGCATTGGGGAGAAGCTAGCTTTATGTCTACCCACTAACTATTCCTATCTATGTTCGGCGTTCTTACAGCTCAGCGCGCTGTCGGCTCTTCCTCTTCCTCAGTCCCTCGGCACATTGGACGTTTCTTGTCTGAAGGTCATGTATCGCTCTTTAAATTGAGGTGAACCCAGTTTCCTCGCTCGGCCCTCGATCGGAGCAAAACGACTCCAGCTTGCTTCCCCGCTCGTATGGGCAATTGCTGTTTTCTCTGTTCCCGCGTCTCATTGGCGCGATGATCGCGCCGAGCCTCGTGGGTCCACCGCTTTTCTTCAGCGATGCCCTTTTCAATCCACTCCTCTCCAAGAACGTTGTAATGTGCAGGAGGTGGCGTCTACATTTTCCACGCACGAAACGAAGTGTAATGCTAGTGGGCCGTGGCGACGAGATGAGCTGTCAATGTATGAGCCTATAGGGGGACTCAATCAATGGACACCGCAACTACGTTTGGAACAAACAATTCTGGTGCTGTGTGGCAACGCGCTTGTTTGGCCCAGATAGAGAGAGAATAATGGCGGCACCCACAGTTATTTTACGCGGCATCGATCGGGCGAGATTCGGAGCCCAACATTTGCCTGGCCAGCAGAAAGTCAGCGTGTGAGTTCTTTTTCCAGCGCACGTGCGCCATAAAGAAAAAACAGCGGCACAGGCACTGCACTTTCCCGCGACCAGCGCATGTGGGCGATAAGGAGGATAAATCGGATAAGGAGCGGAGAACCTCACTCAGTCCCACTTCCGCCTGTCCTTTCATCTGACGACTGGAATTAGGGATTCGAGAAAAACGTAGGTAATTGGGCTCCTAACTGATTTTTTCGCTTTGTTTCTTCTTTTTTTATATATATAAATCTTACTTGTTGTTGTTGTTGTTTTCTGTAGTCTATAGTGTGCGAGGGTATCTTAAAGGGATACTTCGACGAAATTTGAAACATACCCGTCGTGTTCAGAAATAGGCTGAATATAATCCAGAAAATCCGTAAATGACAATCGCACATTTGTATCCTGAGCTTAATGGCTGTATTTACTGCTATAAACGGCCCACACTGGCAAGTGCTCGAAGAGCAGCCAGTGGGGGCCACGTCACATCCGGCGCAATCGTGACGTAGTCTGTCTCGGGATGAGCAAAGCTGCGGCGAAGCTGACATCGTGAAAATGCCTTAACCGTTCCAGCCACCGAAGCGGTCGAAGCACGGCAGCCATCGGGCCATTACAACTAACCGCAAATCTGCTTTTGTGTGAATTTTGAGTAAAGGGTTAATCTTCTATAATCTTGTAGAGGGAGGATAGCGCCGTCTGAGACACACACAAAAAAAGAGAATTAAACGTCTTCTATCTCTTAGCTTCGAATTCAAGAACCTTAGAAAAATACCTAAGGGTTAAAAAACAACTCAAGTATTACTCATATTCTTATATTGGTCTTCCTTCATTAAATCTTACAAAATTTTCTTCGAAACCTGCAAACACCCCCAAGACACAACCGTGCTGCGGATTACGTTCCTAGTGAGATAGAAATTGTGTTATTTGATAACTTAACCTATTCATGCTTGTTTCAAGTGGACTTTTAATGTGTGAAATAGCGCCTGAAGAGGCCCCAGTTTACGTTGGCAGTCCATTAATGTTTACAGGTAATGTGCATTGTTGTGTTAAAGGCCCCAACGTACACTTCGCGCTTTCCATTTTTAAACCGCCTCCTTTTTTCCTATATCCTCTCTACTTTTTACCTCGCTTCAACTTGGCTGCCGCGCAGGTTAGAAGTGAGCTCTAAAAGGATTATCTTCCCTTCAGAAAACGTAGGTTGTACGTCGGTTTTTTGAGCTGTAGATCGAAATCCCATCGATGCATATTTTTACAAAAAAAAATAAAATATAAATTTAAATTGTTTTTTTTCTCTCTAATATTAATAGGAAACAAACATCCACTATAGAAAATTTCAAATCTAATTTAAAAATAAATGTGCCACACCTAGAAGGCACATATACACGAACACACACGGATACACGCGGTCTGATTCCAGGGTTATGTTTTTATAAAATAAGAAATTGAGCCATACATGATGGTCACTCCAAGGATATTAAAGTTGCTCCCCTAATAAAAGAAAGCATTTGGCACCTGTACGAAAGTAAACTGGTTCCCAAAACTTCTTTGGATTGGAACCGCCTTCCCACCTCCATCGCCATAATCCAGGCGGATGATTTGTTTAAAACTGCTCTTTCTAATTTTTATTGTTCATAACTTATATGTGCTTTGCCTTTAAGTTATTCATAGTATAATTTTTCTTGTTGAATACAACCCACTCCCCTCTGTAATGCCGTTGGCCCTGAGGGTATTGGAATAAATAAATAAATAAATACCTGTTACAGTTTAGCCATACCAGTCACCCGTTTGTCAAACGGATCACCCGTTTGAGCCATACCGGTCATCGATTTAAGCCATCTCGGTCACCCGTTTGGGCGAACGCGTCACTCGTTTGGGCAAGCGGGTCGCCCATTTGTTCAAACGGGTGACCAGTTTGCGCAGCCGAGTGACCGGTGACCGGCAAACTGCTCCGGTTTGATCAGACGGCTCTCCCGTTACGCGATGAGCTTGTTTGATACTGAAGTACAGAGCGGACGCACCGGCACGCCTCCTTCACCCGCATGCAGTCTCAAGACAGCTGTTGCGATGCTGCGAGAGTGGTGCGCCGACCACTGGAACGGCTTCGCAGGTGTTCGCAAGGCAAAGCATTCTCAACAACGAAGCAGCGTCCTGAACACCGTGGTTCTGAATCATCAGCAATCTAACGGTGCTCGGGAGCCCCACGCTCCCATTCCAGCAGAGCGAGCGCGGTCGGCCAGATCGAGGCGCTGTCGGCTCTCGTGTCGCGGTTGCTACGTAATTGCTCTGTCTGCACTGCTGACACGTGCACTGACAAAACAGCTCTCTCGAGACTGATGCCGGTCAAATAGGCGGTCAGAAGCATGGCGCCCCGACTGGTGCCCCGTGTGTGCAAGCACGTGCAGCATGCACGTGAAGATAGCTTCGGCAGGCCTGCAATTTCACGTGCTTGCTCACGGGAGGGAGAACACGGTGACTGCTAGATGCCCTGTGTACAATCGTTTATAGACGAGTGTGTATCCCGACATAGTGTCGTGACAACGCGTCAACAGTAGTATACTCGCTTCATCAGGGGCGTAGACAGTGGTGTGATGTCAGTTAACACCCGCATCGAGAACAACGATATCTACATTAGCAACTATTAACACCCAAAACAAATATCTAATTACTGAATCGTGAGGTGCGCCTCCTTAGGAACGACCTCACTATTCTTCGAATTCCTGAAATCAGCAAACGATGTTGCTGAGCGTTTTTTTTTTTTTTCATTATTATGAGATATTAAAGTTGTTTGAGCTTCATCAAAGCCCACTACCCTACTACGTGTCGTGGTGCGCAGGTTGTTTGTTAATGACAGCAATATAAACTAAACATACGAATTAAAAAATATATATATATATTGTTCAGAAATAAGCTGCGCCGTAGATTTCGAAGTTCGCTAGTAACATTTTTTTTATTTTTCGTGAGTGTTTTGTACATGTAACAAAAACATGTAGGGGAAGGAGTAAAGTGCCAAAAAAAGTTGCATTCGTTTACAAGTACAATCAAAGCTAGCCACAAGAACGCTAGATACGCGGGGAATAAAAACTACAGAATAAAAGTCAAAGTTAAACACAAGAACTTACAAAAATAAATTGTTAAATAGGAAATACCATGCAAAATTTTAAAAAAAAGAGAACGGGCCTTTTTTATTCTTATTTTTATTTTTAGTTCGTTGTTCTGTTTTCTATATGACAATTTATTTTTGTAAGTTCTTGTGTTTAACCTTGACTCTAATTTTGTCATTTTTAAGTGTATTCTCCGTGTATCTAGCTTTCTTATGTCTAGCTTCAATGTACTTGTAAACTAATACAACTTTTTTTATTGTGTGACTTTTTTTAATCGCCATTAAATTACATTTTATTTTATTTTTATCATTCGACGGCTGTTCTGTCTGCGCACCTTACTTTTGACTATATATCAACGCAAGCGTCACAAATTTGTATACATATATAGTGAATGAAGAGGGGAAAAAGTGATTATTTTATTTATTGCATTCATTTCATTTCATTTTCTTTATTGAACCTTAAGGGCCCGTGAGGGCATTACATGAGGGGGGGGGGGGGATCATTCATATTATACATTGGAAAAAATAGACACAAAAATAAATACATTCAGGAAAAGCTTGTGAAACACTTAATAACATAAAAAGTGCAATTGAAGACTTGATTTAAAGGCGTTTGGGTCTACGATGGTGACGATGGAGGATGGAATCCGTTCCAGTCATTCATAGCTTGTGGAAGGAAAGATCAGTTGAAAGCGTTTGTTGAGCCGAAATCCTCTTGATGGTACAGGCATTGTCTGGGCGAGATGATGTTTGATCGGGAGGTGATACTAATGCTGTTTTAAGGTCAAGACAGTCATAATAGATTTTGTGAAGGAGGCAGAGCTGAGAGACTTTCCTACGAAGTTGCAAAGAAGAAAGGGTAGAGCGCCGTTCACACTCT